TAAACAGTAGTTGCCAACCTCAGAAATCAGACATCTTTTGTCCTTTCAGGTAGTGTATGTTAGTCCTAAGCCCCTGAAAATTTGTCTCCAGTATAATCCTAAATCAAATTTTAGAAGTCCTGGCGTATGACAAATCTGTGATCTGTGTTTGTCAAGGGAAGATAGTATTACAAAGTATTCTAATGGCAAGCACCACAAGTTATTTTTTGTTTTTCTTGTAACAAGCATTAAAAACATCAAGTAGCAGAGTTCAGCCTTTTAGTTTTTTCTCCCTGAAGAGCTACAGATGACTGGAAGATTCATACTTGCAGTGAGCATTTTTCTACTGTGCCATTAATTGTGCGTTAGGAGTAAGAGATGACTGGTGGACGCCCTGTAGAGGTAGGGGAATAAACTTTGAACAATAAAAGAAATTGCTCTTCCCAAAAAAACCCTAAACAACAAACCCTTCTTGTGGAAACATTTTGCTCACAAGTATGTTGCATCTAGTGTAGTGTTACGCACTGGATATGATACTTGTTTTTGACTAAATTATCTGAAATCCTCTCTAGGCTGGCTGTGAGGAGGGATTGTTCTGTGATGATTTTTGGTAAATGAATTTGACTAGTTTACCCCATTACCTTACAATAAATAGTAAGGTGGACTAATGAATGAAGGAGTTGAAGTATGTATTCCTAAATTTATCTAAAAGTTTTTCCCAGAGTTTCTATAATGGGATTTAGGTAAAAATTAAATTTCTGCTAAACCAAAATGCCATACCATGTTCTTCCTTGCTTCAGCAAATGCTCTTTTCTCCTCCTCTATGCGTCGTCGTGCATCCTCTTCTGCTTTCCTCTTTTCCTCTTCTCTCCTCTGTCTTTCTATCTCCTCAAAACTGAGTCTGAGCTTACCAGGGCGGAATTCCTTAACAGGATTTTCAGATTCTTCATCTCCAGCTTCATTTATCTTAAGAGAATAGGGAGAGGAAAATATAGAAAGCACTTAGCCAAACAAAAAATATTCTTTATAGCAAATAAATACTCCATTCCTTTCTGATCTTTTATAAGATTTTTCTCCTTGGGGGGAAAAAATGCATCAAGGCTTAGTTTCCTGTGAGAAACATTTTAATCTTTGTTCTAGCCAGGGGAGCAAGATAAGAAATTTTCAGTATCCTATACATAGCTTTTACAATTTTTAAAAATGTGTTGAGTGTGTAATTCAAAGAACAATGTGTAACCAGGAAGAGGCTGAACAGTTAAGTACATACTTTATGGTCTCATTGTTGGATCATTTACTGTAAATCACTCTCTATTCTCTTTATTTACATCATTTTCATAGATGTTTATACCATCAAATCTTTTTGTTTGTATAGAAATTGCTTTCATCAGTGCACCACTTAAAGAAATGCTGTACAGTCTTATAGCAAAACTGAATCAGATATAATTTTGCTATTATTACAGACTGAGATTTTTGTTTCTTTTATTTTTAGACATTTAATCATCACTGAAGAAAAGGAATTGAGATACTCTGATCTCCTGGCTATAGCTTCTCTCCAGTGAACACTTATGTGCTAAAAGAAGCCTGTGGTTTGCAAGCTGCAATCAAGAACCCTTTTCAGAGGACATCCCAGAGTACTTTATCTCTTCATGGAGGAAGTGGGCTGGGAGCTGTCAGAGTACTGATAATCCAGATCTCTATACTGTGACCAGCCCTAGGACTGGTATGTGGGGTAGCCCATTAAGGGAATTAGAAAAATCTTTATTTGAAATTTGTAAGGGAAAAAATTTGAAGAATTTAAGAAAATTAACTGCTGAATTCTTAAGAAAAATGTTTACGTCAAAGTTTGACAACCACTGGTCAGCAGGTACAGCTTCATGTTAAAAAATTCTTTTGATGTGGAGAATTTGTAAATTATTTCATATTACTTGATAAATAAATGCATAAGGAAGGGAGATGTGAACTAATCTTCAGTTAGAGCACCTAAGTGACTTAATGGAGTTCACTTTCCTTCAGTTTCTTCTCTCTACTTCTTTACTAGAATCCCTTGCCCCAAACAAAAAAAAAATTGCATTACTGACACAATGACAAGGTTATTGGTGTGAAACAACAGTGATTTATTGGAGGTGGAGATGGAAAAGTAAACTACAGTTTAGGTATCTGCCTAAACCTAGAACTCTCTCAATATGGACCAGTTGGGAATTTTTGTGTTTCAGCTTTCTAGAAGTTCTGTATTGTTGGTTTTGTTTAAGTTTGTTTCTGTAGAATATAAATGTCATGAATGTTTTTGAAATATAATCAAAATAGTGATCTAGAGCTGTTTTTCCAAGACTGTTCATGCATAATTATACTCTGTTAAAGCTAGCAAATTCCTATAAATAATGTTTTCCAAGTTTTTATGCAAGATTAAAATCTCATTTCTTGTTAATCTTGTTTGTATGTGAATTTTGTAAGTCAATTAAGAAGCTCACAGTGATCATGACTATAGAGGGAAGAAGTATTCAAATAAAAATAAGGAAATACAAAACTCATCTATCTGGTTATCTTAGGTTAATACTAAGTGTATGATTCCTTCAGTGTGATCAAAGAACAAAGTACAGTGAGCTCTATTTATAGCTGATCTAACTCTCACTTATGATAAAGAACACATATGGAGGCAGTTTTCCAAGTTATATTAAACAGGATCTGTGGGCTGCATTTCTGACAATTTAGGGGACTTCCTGTAGTAATTTATAGTATGTTGGTGTTTTTATCAGTACGTAAAAAAGAGCTGATCTTTTTTTCTTTACCTTTCTTCACAAGAGTTGTAGTTGATATATATTTCTTATCACATTTACAAATAAATATGAGGATAAGAAACAGCATTTTGTTACTATGGAATGTTTGCATCAAGAAACAGTTACTGAACCATCTGCAGCATTACTTCAGAAGAAAACAGACAGCTGCTCATCTTCTTGAAGACTTACAGTTTAAGGTACTACAAAGTGTAGACAAAATCAAGTTGCTGGCAAAATCAAAACACCTGTTATTTTTTGGTTTACTAAAAGAATGTCTAAAGTATTATGCCAGTGTGGTTACTGAGTTAGAGCAAAGGTCAAAAATGTCTTTCAAAAACTCATTTCCAGACTCTTAACAGCTTCAAATAAAGTATACGGTATAAGAAAAGAGAAGAATCACATACAGGAAAGAATGTGCAAATTGTAACCAACATGAACAAAACGTGTGCTTACCATTCTCTGCCTGGCTTCTTCAAAGGCTCGTTTTTCCTCTTCCAAACGCTGCCTTGCTTCTTCCTCTGCTTGCCGCCTTTGATTCTCCTGTCTTTGTCTTTCCAGTTCTTCAAACGTGACTTTCAGCTTACCAGGAGACAGAGGCTCTTGAGTTTCACTGTTTTCATTTTCACCCTGTGTAAGGAAAATGAAACACTGTATCTTAAGGGAATACATATCTATTATATAGGTATTTTTGGATTATGGTTTACCTGGACAAATGAAAGGCACTTGGGTTCCTTAAGGAGTTGGTTTTGTTCCTCATCTTTTGGCTTCATTTCTTCATCCTGTGCCTTTCTTTGTTCTGCTGTCTCCTTTCCTGTGTTCTCAGGGATTATTTTCATCTTCCCAGATGTCCTGCTGCTTTTTACAGGCACTACTGTAACTAGCAGTGAATCATCCCCTTCCTGTCCAAAAATATATTTATTACATTTTCATGAAACTTGACTTCTAGGTAGACTCATTTCTTAATGAACCTGCTTGTTTTAACCTGTGTGCACCAAAGCTTCCAAAAGGTTTACTTGTATTGAATATTACCCACAAGAATAAAGTCATTAGTTTTCTTCTAATATCTGAAGAGTATCAAGAACTGAATTATATTTTAAACCTAACAGCTGGCAAACACCTTAATTTCTTTATATATTTTCATTAACCATTAGCCATAAAAACTCAAGGTTTGGAAAAGAACAGGTGTCGTTTTGAACACACAACAATGGTAACCACACTCTACTTCCAGTTTTATATTTATTATGTAAATGATAGTAAATTGCAGCTAGAATAAATCAATAACTTAACACAGAATTATGTAATTTGTAATTTCTGTTATGTAATTTGTCAGGTACAGTAATTGTTTCTTGAAGGATGTTGCTGCTTCAACTCCATTTTTACAACTTACTAGCCAAAATATAATTTACCCATATTTTTCCCTCCTATCAAATAAGTTAAAACTGATGAATTTGCAGATCTTGTTTTTTCTTTCCAAAACTGTAGTAGGAGTGTGATTTTCTTGTGTTAGTGAAAGACAATAGGACCTTTGGACCCAGATTTTTGAAATAAAACATTTATTTGCAAGACTTAAAGTCAAAACCCATATGGTAGATTAGTAAAAAAAAAAAACTAAGTTAACTCAGTGAGGTGTTCAAACATCTGTATAGTGTCAGAATCCCCCTTTAATTTCAAGTTTAAGGCAAAGAGCTTTTAAGATAATTCTTTGCAAAGCCAGAGGACTTAAAAGAATCATTCCCAGTATATACAAAATAATTCTCTGGCTTTGAATATTTACATATTAGGTGTTTTTAACTAACCACAAAGTATTCATAGTGCAGGCTCTGTTTCAGACTTCAGTATGTTGACTTCAGGTACAGAGATAGTTCAATATACGTTAAAAATTTGTTAGCTCCTTGATTGAACTTTAATTCAGTATTTCTGTGCTGTTTTCTAAGTTTTCCCAACCCAAATTACAATAATAAAACAAAGTGAATAAAAATGTAGGTGAACATTTCTTTAAAGAAAATCTGATTACCTCAGCTGCTGATTCAGTTCCCGTATTGTTAAAGTCATCAATCTATTAAATGAGAATTTCATATGATTACATTAATTTGGCTCTTTGCCTTAGAGTTGCAAACATAGAACTGGAAATTCTATTTGTATCAGTGATATGTATGTAGCACATAAATTCACAGAGGTGGAAATGACTGAGGCTCTGTTGGAATACTTCAGATAGGTCAGCTTGTCAAGGAAGAGGTAACAAGACATAAAACATCCCACACAAAGTCTGCTAAAGCATTCTCAACACAGTGCTGAACCAAGAGCAATACTTGAGATGTCCATTCTTCATTTAAACATTCCAGAATAGTATAAATTTAAAAAAAATCTGAAGTCATTGATCATTTCTGATTCAAGTGACATTGTCTTCCCTCAGCTCCTAAAAAAAGCCTAATGCTGTGTTTACTTCCTATGCTGTGCCTATGTTATGGCCTAAAACTGACATACTTTTTAAAATTCTTCATTTCTGCCTTGCAGAGTAGATTTAATATATAGTAGATACAATACAAATTAAAAGTAAGGTTTTCACAATGTAAGAAGTTCTAGTAGAAAAGACTATCCAAAAACTTCTCCATTGGCACTGCTTTTCATTTCTTAAAACAAATTGAAGACTAAATTAAGTATTACTATGATTTGGTTAAATAGAAATTTGCATGTGTTTTTAGTCTATCATTTAAATGTTTACTCTCACTGCAGTATTTGCAGCACTGAAGAAAACTGCAAAAGGAATTAAATTTTATATGCCTTCACAAAATTCTACAAAAGACAGAATTTGCTTTATTGGCATCAATAAAATTGGAGTCTGTTCATATATTTTATACATATATATATATGTATATGCATGCAATGATGATTCACAAACTGGCAAAGAAATAAAACATTACCTGGATCTCCACGATTTATTATTTTTACTACATTAGTGTTGTCTCATTTTTACCTGCCACTGATGTTTTCTTATTATTTCTTGCTTGCCTTAGTTCATATATCACTGAGCTCTATACACTAACTTAAAAGGACAGGTTGTCTAAAGTAAGAGTTGAGAAAATACAAGAAACATTTTCAAATTAGTTTAGCAAACTTATATGCATATGACACCAAAAATTGTGCCTGGTTCCTACCAGGTTTGTGCCTGCCCATTTCATCTGCAACTCAACTTTGGAGCTTACAAGAAAATTGTTACTGTAAAGAAAGGAGGACTGAACAAGATATTTCACTTCAACCCCACTGAGCATCTCCCGTGTAAATCTCTACTATGAGAAATCTTAAGATCAGATCTTTCTGATAAATACAAAATGGTTTTAGTGTTTATTGTTTACAGTTACATCCTGACTGTTGTGATCAGATGAACATACCTCCTGTGCCTTTTTTGCCAATTCTCTTTGAATTTTTCTTTTCTCAATCATATCTTGTTCAATTCTACGCTTTCTTTCTTCTTCCATTCTTTTTCTTTCTTCTTCTTGCCTTTGCTTCTCCATTTCTGCAAACTTGCCTTTAACAGTTCCTGTGGACATGAAATGCACAGCTCAGCAGTTCCATCTAACTCTTACCCGTGGAATTCTATGGCCTTCAAAGTCAGGCCTCTCTTACCTATGAGCTTTGGAACATAACCCTTTTCTGTTTTAGATAGTTTGGTGTCATCATCTTCATCAGATCCAAGCAGTTCTTTCATCTAGTTGGTGAAACACAGAAAGTAGACTGTCGTTATAACTTAAATGAAATCCCGGTATTATTGTCTTCAAATAATGTGAATAAATTTTCAGATAAAATATTAAATATTATAACACAAAATATTAGCAAAGAAAATAACCTCCTGCTTTCTCCTGTTCCATTCTCTCTCTCTAACATATTGTTCTTTTCTTCTTTGCTTTTCATCTCTAGATCTCCTTTGATTTCTTTCTTCCCTTGCTTTCTGCATAGCTTCAAATTTATCCTTTACATCACCCTTGTGAAGCTTGGGCACATAGGACTTTTGGACGGGTTTAGATGAAGAAAGCAGAATCTTGGTGAAGATATAGAAGAAATGAAGATAAGAAAAAGAAAGTTGAAACAGATGGACAGAAATACTCTGATAGATTGGATTAGAAAGAATGTAAGAACATAAAGCAGAAGTACAATTGAGATTACAAACTTTGTGCCATGAGCCATCATCAGTTAAGTATCATTATATTTGTTCATAAATAGTATAAATATTAAAAAATCCAAAACAGCATGCAGCATTATATTAAACTATTAAATTATCTACAGATTTCTATTGTTGCTTTCAATCTTAAGCAATCACCAAAGAGACTCTCTGCCCCGAACATTTAAAAGAGATAGATACATAATACAATGCATATGAGAGTTTTTCTGCAACACTTCAACAGCCCCTATAGTTTTTAAATAAAGAGTAGTATTTCTTAATTTAAAACTTGCAATATGCTTACTTTTTCAATATCTAGAAAAAGCCAGGAGCCCACTTCATGCGCTTTGCATGAAGTGCAAAGATCGCTGGACCATCGCGGCTCTGATGCTGATACAGCAAATGGACACTTCTTTGCCAGTGATTAATCTGTGGGTGTCCAAACACCAGAGGTTCCCACTTTCAGAACTACTGTGAAGTTTTTTTCTTTTTACAGTGATGACAATGGGAATGCTCTCAATAAAGTAATACTGAGAAAACTGGCTTAAAAACATTTTGTGTTTTGTATTTTTCCACCTACACCAGTTTTTGTTCCTGCTACTCAGTCTATGTAGAAAAGGAAATATTTGAAGTAGCCTAGTATATTTACATTTTAGCATCAGATGTAAATGTTGCCCAGAATTTCACCCTCCTACTTCATGTTTTTCTAATAAGAATATAATTCACAGATTCCATCAAATTTTAAGGTACTTAATAAATCCCCTTTCATTGTCTAAAAATAACGGCAATACCAGAAGACTTCCAGTATAATTGTATTTTACAATTATTTGTAATTATTACTTTTGCAAGCATCAGTTTTAAATTATTACATTGCCTTGATTACTTTAAAATTGGTACATACCTCAGTTTTCTGTGCAATGTCATTCATGGTTACTGTATTGTGCTCTGCACCTGGTATGTTTAAGATGGCTTTCAGTTTCTACCTGAAAGAAACAGTTGTAGTTACATTCCTTTCTTTTCCTTTTAAATGATGCTTTAACCATCTTCCTGTAAATAAGTTTGCATAGGCTGAAATGGATGTATCACAATTTCACTTGGTCCTCTGGGGCTTTTGAAGACATGAATAGGTTCTAAGTGTGCCACAGTAATTAAAAGAACAAGCTTATGATTCACTATTCATGCTCATAACTCCTCTATATAGTCCTAGGTATTGGGTTCTAATTTCCCTTTGAAAAACCACCCCGGAGCCGAACTCTGGCCGCCCTGCTCGGTGCCCGGTGCCGCTCCCGGCTGCGGGCCCGGGCTGCGAGCGGAGAGCTGGGCTGGCCGCACTCCGGCCCTTCCCCAGCGCACGGGTGCAAAGCGTGCTGCCCCTCTCCTAGGGCTGTTCTCCAGGGAAAAGTAGTGTTACAAACTGTGAAATGGGAGAGGTAAGCCACATACAGATAAAGCATTTGTATAATTTAGTTGTGTTGTGGAAATGACATGGTATGTTTCAGAAGAAAATTGTGAGAAATTTTAAAGTACACTGTATACTAGGAAGCTAACAGAACGGCACTTTCTCTTTTTCTCTTCAGCTTCAGGTCTATCAGAGCTCGTGGGAGGAAGGAAATCATGATGTGATTCCAGTGCTACTGCTGTCTGTATTGTATTGATCCTCTGAGTCCCCGGAAAGCCTAAAAACTCAGGAGCCAACTCAGGGTGCAAATAAGGGGCTCAAAGATTTTAAGCAAAAATACTGGAAAAGCAGCTTACCACTGGAAGGGACTTGCCACTTGTGGTTTAGAGGAGCTGAAGTCAGAGATTTTCATTATACAGAAAGTTAAGCTCTTATTTTTCAAATTCTCTATCTCTACAGATTATAAACACAGAAATATTTCTGTACTTTTAAAAATAATTAACATTGAGAGCTGTTTTCGTGTAAACTCTTCAAAAGTACACCAACATCACCAGTGCTCACTGGCACTGCTGTAGCTACACAGATGGAATGGGATTCTTGGAGATCTTGGGATGTTTCTCCCAATGAAAGCAGTCACAACATACAAAACAAAAGCATTTAGCTACCAACGCTTGCCCTGATTTACAAATTCTAAACTCTTCAAATTTGGCTTCAACAGAGATGTTCTGGAGAGCACTTTGGTGTTCCCTTTCAACCAGTTGGTACAGAAAAGTCACACCACTCCTTCATTTGTAGACTAATAGGAATCCAAGGCATTTCAGTTTCTCACTTTTGAACACATGAACATATAATCACTAAGTGGCAGTTCCCATTGAGATTGTTTCAGGTCAGCAACAACGTGTTGGAATTCTGTGGGGTCTAGAAAGGCAAATAATTGCATCAGCATTCTGTAGCCTCAGGGTCCCTATAGGCTTTACCATGCATTTGTACATTGTGCAGGATTTGCACATCTCTGTAAGCTTTAACTGACTTCTATGCATGTAAGCAAAATCCCCACTGTGATCAGTATAACTTTAAAACTGCTTCAAATCTTTTAACTTCCTTATTTCTATAAGCAGGTCTTAGAGAAAGTTCTCTGTTCTCTTCTTTTGCTACTCTGCTCTTTTAATGGCTCCTTCCTCACCTGGGGCTGGCCACCTTCAGCCTTGTACTTGACATACAGCAGCTGACCCAAAGGGTTACTGCAGGAACCCATCAGAAAATAAAGGAATGCCATAAATTGGTGCAATCCTTGCACTGAAGTAACCTGGGACACAGAGACCTTTTACCCTTCACATGGGGCTGGAGCAGAGAAGACTCAAAGATAATCTGTCACAAGAAATTACATCTCACCTCAACACCTCAAGGTGAGGTTACCACTAATCTTGACCATAGCAATGTACTCCATGGATAGAGCTTCATCTTAAAGTCATTTGAAAACTGACTATTCCAAAGTCTGGGGCTTTGTGTGCAATTAATTGTAAGAAGATGATGTTCCTGACTCAAGACTTTGTCTTGAACCTTTCAATTACCTGAACCTCTTGACAGTGGGATAAAAAATCTGAAATTTTCCTTAGAAATGCGAATGTTGGAAGAAAGTTTCTTTGCAAATTCCTGCTGTCTGAATTTCCAAAATAGTGCCAGTCCAACAGGTTGTGGGCCTTCAAGATGGCAGATATGTTTCTGCCATTTGGAATACTGCCATATCTGCTATTACTTCAGGCTACTTTCCAGTTCATTGGCATCAATAACTCTAATATGTTTGAAGGTTGGCCAGCTGGCTCTAAAGCATTTTGCCCCTGCAAGTCATCCTACCTCCACTTCTGATGCTAAAAGATATTGATACAAAGCACCAGCACACTGCTAAACATGACACCACCCGTGTGTGCACTTCCATCCCTCTCCATGGCCATTAAACCTTGAGCAGGATGAGCAGCTGGACCCTGCCTTGGGCACCCCTCAGGGCAGATGAGTGATTTCCAATAAAGACAATATTGAAGAAAACAAGTGTGAGTTTGCTGCCCTGAGTTCCCACAAACAAGAACTCCTTGAGTTTTGGGTTGGGTCTGTAAGGCAGCGACCATGGCTTCAGGAGCAACCACTGCAGACAGAAGCTGCTTTGTATCTGCCTCACCATCAGGAGAGGGTCCCAGTCAATGAACTGGTGCTGAGAAAGCCCAAGTGGCTACATAAGGAAGCCCTGACACCTACAAATGGTGGAAGAACAGTGCCTTCCTCATCTGCCAATAGCTTTGCAGAAGTATGCAGTGATAGATTTTCCAACCCAAGAAACCTTGACCTACTAATTCCATTTTGAGATGAACTAGTTATATTAAATTGGCCATTTATATATACATATTCTTGTTTTGTATTTTCCCAGAGTTCATCTAATAAAAGCAATTTTTTATTTTTTGAGGCAACACAAGCCTGCCTGTTTAGTTGCTTACTCCAGAAACTCTTTCTCCTATTATGATGCTGTCCAATCTTAATATTCAGTCTCATCTTTTCTTTTCCAAGATCAACATACCACAGCAGAAGCTGTAAGGGCTCCTCATTGAAGCTTCCCACTCAAAAAAAAAAAAAGCCAGATGATAACCATGAACATAACTGTGGTCAAAAAATAAGTTCAGCTTGTTACCTTTGCTGACACAGTCTCATCACTCCAGCATGCACCTTAAAATACTGTAAATTTTTTTTCTCTCTACATCTATCTTTCCTACAATTAAACGCCATATCTTTGATAAAGTTAGTCTGGTGTTATGAGTTTTATACTGAAAGTACCAGACTGCAGGGTCCCTTTGAAAGGTCCACTCCTCAAGAAAAATTTAACTGCGTCCAGTGATCAATAGTCCGAACTCTGGAGTTGGAAAATAGGGAAAATGCCACTTGACTTGACTGGCTGTAATGCAGAGAATTCAAGTAAAAATTTAATACAAAAGCAATAATGCATAAAAAAACAGACAACAGATTAGGAATGTTCTGTAAAAAATAAATTACTGCTTTCAAACATCTTACTCATTTACTATAAATGGACAAGCAATCAGTTCAGATATGCCTTGACCTGTTATGATCATAGCACTTTTTCAACTTTTCCTGCAGCCTCCCTAAAATCTTACTTTGGGCAAAAAAAGTCAAAAAAGAAAACCATTAAGAGGACACAGAAAATTTGATGGCTCACAAGTCCCAAAATCTATCTCCTTAAATTTAATTAATTTCCATTTCTGAAAGCAGGTCATAGTCCTCAATTGATAAAAAAAAAAAAAAAAAAAAAAAAAAAAAAAAAAAAGTTGTGCATCTTTAACCAGATTAAAAAATAAAAAACCTTCCCATAAATAATAAAATTCACTTTCTTTTAAAAAATTCTTGTTTTTCAGTGGCATGATAGACATCCTCACATGCGACCCAAAAAATACCAGCATTTCCCTGAACTGAACACCACTATCTACAATAGGAGCATGAAGTCAGGACTTTTAAAAAGGTTCAGTTCCTCTGTGATTTCTCCTTTCAGAGGGCCTCCTGATCTCCTGCTCGGTGCTGTGAGTTATAAATAAGCCCTTCATGGCACGGTCTAAGTTACGTTTACCATCTGCCTCTTCTTTGTGATCTACTTGCAGGGAAGTGTCCATTATATAAGAAAACCAAACTGTGAGAGCTGGAAACTCACTGCTTGCAGCCAGAGGCACACACAGTCCACAGTGCTGAAATATTTAATAAAATATCAAACAGAAGTGGGCAGAGGAGGGGAAATGATCATCATTTGTGCCCTGCCCATAACTGCTCTGGAATGACACCACCAGTTGTTGTACCAAATTACAGATACTGAAGTAGATACTAAAATTATCGTGCTTAGAAGTTCCTGAGCTGGCATCAACCATCAGTTCCACTGAAGCCAGTGAGTTATAACAATTAATACCAGCTGTCTAAACTTCTCATTTTGTATAAATACAAAATGCAGAACTACTTCCGCTCACTTGTATTTCCTTCATTAAGCCTTCATAATTAAAGACCAGAATGCTTACCAACAAGTGACCCAGATAATTTTTCATATACAATCTTCTCCTCAATCTTTAAATTTATCACACTTCAACATTTATTGAGAGTCTTATTTTGTTGTAGAATACTCCTTGCAGATAGGGTGTTATTTATAAGAACATACATATTATAAAGGATGCCTATGTTTTATACAGCTATAAACAATCCTTATGCAACAATGCCATTCAGCCCAACTGTTTAAAAAATGGGATCACCCTTCTCTGTACAACAGGTCTGTTGATTCTTTACTCTCTTCTACAATTACGGGGTACACAGGCTCCAGAGCAAACATAGTAGGGGTTCAGAGACTGCTCTGGTAATGGGGAAATCCTGCTGGGATCTTCTGGCCCATGATTTCATGCTCCATGGTATCTGCTGATCCTAATGGAAGTGGCAGTAAATTGTGAACTGAGGTTCCCAAGAGACAAACCAGGATATTTTGCCCCATGCCACAGTTCCTCCATTCCCTGCTGTGTCAAGATGAACCATGTGCTTTTTGACTTCAATGACAGGACTTCAGAGACCAAGGTAACACAAATGCTGGCCACGAGGTGCTATTGCAATCTCTATCTTGCCTGCTGACAGGACACAGCCTTTCTGCCTCTTCTCAGAAATGCTCTTGGCCAGCTCAGACTGAAGCAGAGTGGTCACCCACAGTGGCCATGGCCTGAGCTCTGCCTCTGCCCCAAATGAGAGGTTTCCAGGGCTTCCTAGAGGCATGCTGCTGCTTCTCCTTGAGCAGCCCTACCCTGCTGGTGGTGCTGATGCCTGTAAAAAGCCACATCATGAGTACCACCTTCACCTGAGCAGGTACAGCTGCCGTCAGTGCACAGCAAGGGTCACTTCCACCGCCTCCTGCACCGCTCTCCCAGTGCCAGAGCTTTCCCCACTCCCTGCACCAGCCTGACCACGACACTGGTTCTCCTGAAAGGAGTTTCAAAGCTCGATAACCACATCAATGCTCGCCTGGCTTCTTTCACTGAGAAAACCACTCATCGAATACATTCCAAATGCAGTCAGACAAAGTTCCTTAAGCTATTTACCCAGCTCTTGTATTTCACCAGACTGTGCTTCCTACATATACCAGTCATAGTCTCATACTTCTGCATGTTCCTTAATTAATACACTTGGCCCTTCTATAGGACTAATTATAATTCATTGTTTCATTTAATTGGACAATTTTCTAAGAGAAAAGACCTGAGACCTAAGGTTAAGAGTACTGTGTTTTCTACCACACAACAATTTGCTGATTAATTTTTGAAATTCTACCATGCTTCATTAAACATGATTTTTTCAATATTTGTTGGCTTAAAAGAAGCCCCTATTTACCTAAAACAAACGTGATAGTAACTAATTAGTAAGTTGTCGCGAAAGCCAAATATTTTCTTCCGAGCCACTCTTACAGCCATCGCTCAGAGTGAAGCAGAACCAACGGACGCATTCAGTGCGCCGCGCTGCTGAACACCGCACCAACAAAACTGAGCTCTGCGTGTAGCAGCTTCCCAAAACCGGGGATTTACGGGATTTCAGCGAACTTTCATGAACCGCACATCACTCACCGCGGGTCCCGCACGGCGGGGCGGGACGGCCCTCCCGGGCTCCGCGTCCCCCGGGCCGGCTCAGGGCCGGGCGGCAGCGCCCGGCGCGGGGCAGCGCCTCCGGTTGAACGGCCGCGGGCGCCCGCCGGCCCCAACGCCCCGGGCCGCGCTCGGCGCCGCCCGGCCGGGCCCTCCCCGCCGCCGCCGCGGTGCGAAGGGGCGGCCGCCCCGCAGCCCTGCGGGCTGGGCTCGGGCCGGCGCAGCGGAGCGGGGCGGAGCGGGGCGGCTCTCGCCGCGGGCAGCCGGCCGGGCACGCAGCCCCGGGCCCGCCGCACGCCGGGGCTCAGCGGGGCCGGCTGCGGGCGGCGGGGAGCGGAGCGGGGCGGGGGAACGAGCCGCGCTGAGCCCCGCGGCGGCGGAGCCGCTCTTACCTGTGCGCTGCCCGCGCTGCGGCTCGGGGCGCTCCGGCGGCGGGCGGGCTGCGCTGCCGAGCGCCCCTTGGCTGCGGCCGCCGCTCCGCCGCTGCAACTTTCCATAAAAGTCGCGACGCGCGCCCGGCGCCCGCATTCCAGGCGAGCCCCGCGCCGCGGCAGCTGGCCCGGCCCGGCCCGGCCCGGCCCTGCGGCTCGGCGCGCCGCGCCCGGCCCCTCGTCGGCCGCGCGGGGGGCGCAGCCAGCCAGCCCCCCTCCCGCAGGCAGCAGCCCGGCCAACAGGCTAATTTTGGGCTGGAAGCGGCCCCGAGCTATAAATAACCGGGCCGGCGGAGCGGCGGCCGCGCCGGCCCTGCCGCAGGGCGGCGGGCGGGGGCTCCGGGCCGGCGGGACGCACCGGACCCGCCGCCCGCTCCCGCCCCGCCCGCACCGGCCCCGGGCACCGCGGCTTGTCCCGGCCCCGGCGGGGCAGCCCCGGGGCAGCCCCACTCACCGCAGCCCGGGGCAGCCCCACTCACCGCAGCCCGGGGCAGCCCCACTCACCGCAGCCCGGGGCAGCCCCACTCAGCGCAGCCCCGGGGCAGCCCCACTCACCGCAGCCCGGGGCAGCCCCACTCACCGCAGCCCGGGGCAGCCCCACTCAGCGCAGCCCGGGGCAGCCCCACTCACCGCAGCCCGGGGCAGCCGCACTCACCGCAGCCCGGGGCAGCCCCACTCAGCGCAGCCCGGGGCAGCCCCACTCACCGCAGCCCCGGGCCCGCATGCAGGGCGCGCTCCGCTGCGCCCGCTCTGCCGGCCCGCGGGTTTTATACCTACGGCGGTCCGGAGCCGGGTCGGCTAATGGCACATGCAGAGCGAACAACTAATAATAGTAATGTGACAGCTCGCTGATGGAGCGGGGAGGAATCTCCCGAGTGCCAGACTGCGAGAGGCAGAGCGCGGCGGCTCAAAGCAGCGCCTGTCGCCGGCAACTTTACAAAGCAGAGGCAGAAACGTGACTTTATTACATCTGAATACATTCCTTTTCCTGCTTGAAGATGACATTTTTCCTACATGTTCAGTCGCAAGGCTTCCAGTGCAGAACTTTCTTCTTCCTATCTCTCTTGTATTGTGTCTGCCGGACTGGAGCCTAACTTTCAGCTGGGTTATCGCTGTTAGGACAATAACCACATGACCTTAGGCCGTGCAGATCTGAACAGCGGCTATCAAACCTAAAACACAAAAGGCGTTTGCCTTGTGAAGGACAGAGCAGGCACTGTCCCCCGCTGCCACCCTCGTACTGAAGCACCCGAGTCAAGTCGGGCTTCTGACTGCCAGGGACTCACCCGCTTCGAGCAGATGAACACATAAACAGGCAACACACTCAACAAATCTGGGCAGTTCAAAGCACCCTTCTACAGCTGTAAGGGTTAGACTCTTTATGTCCTCTATTTTATTATTTATATTATTCCAGAAAGGAGGTCTTAACCCACAACTGGAACTCAGTACAGCTGTTTGGCTTGGAAATAAGCCTGAAAAAATTTGTCTCCTAAAACCAAGTAGAGAGACAACAGCTCGGCTGTTACAATGTGACAGCTGTATACAGTGAAACTGGACAGCCCAAAAGCTGCTCCCATTCAGTATTTTTAAAATTTATATAGTAATTTTTGTAATAGTTGTTATTTGTTGATTTCAGGCAGCAAACTCCAATTTCAGGAAGACTGTATCAAAATTTATCCCATATTAAATGATTTTGCAGGAGATTTCAAGAACTGTTCACGTTTAAGTTTGAGATATAATTATATGAGCAACAGTTGTTTCACTGAAATATTTTATTTTATATACACAGCTGCAGTTCATTTAGGCAATAGAAAGGTCACAAATACTCTTACTGACACTCGATTTGACACGTTTACTTTGATAGAAACCAAACACTACAAAAAGGAAGAATAATCATTAAGAACACATTCAAAATAAAATGATTATTACAACTAAATTACAAATGATACAAATATTTGATTCTTTATAATCCAAATGCATTCAACATTTCTAGTCTTAGGAGTACCGTTATGGCAGAAGAGGATGGCTTTTAAATTTAGTTTGCTCCTATTAGGATGGAAAGTATCATTCAAAACTACCTAAATTTAGACACTATAAACTAAATTCTGAGTCTGATTATGAATTAACTAGAGTAGAACTGCATCACGCTATCACTGCTATGGTGCAGCTCTGGCACTTGTGTTTGCAGAGATGGTGGGTGCACTTCTGAATTCTTAAGCCACACGCCTGGTTATCAACAAATGTTCTGTCCAGCTCAAGGTGCAGGTTGTAAGAGAACTGACTGCAGTTCTGTGCTGCAAGGAGAGAGCTTTCTCCCATTTGAACTGGCATCTCTCTCTGGAGTTAATTACATGCTCAGAATAGACAGATGCTTTTTAGAACAAGATCAAAAAAGACTCAGAGGAGATCAAAAGCCTTCCCACCTGTACCTGGACATCTCCCTGTCTCTCTATTCCCTTCTTTTTCAGCTTCCTTACTGTTTCTCAATCAAGTGTTTGTTGGTGGCATCTTATAATAACCAGATCCTGTATTTCTTATTTTGGATGGGAAATACATCGGTTCAATTTCCAGTCCAACTCTGTGGACTTTTGAGAGCTCTATGAGTGTACAGAAGTGCTCCTGTTTGAAAGGGACACAAATGCACAAGTCACATATTATGAAGTTCTTCCCATTTTCTAAATAGTTTGGTGTTTGATTAGACCTTTCTTATTCTTCTGTTGTTTTAAACAATCATTTTGTTTTTGACATAAGACCAAGTTTCCAGGTTTAATTCTTTCCCAAGTGTCTGGAAACATTTATAATCTCATCTGCAACTCTGTTTCTTCAAGAGCTTTTTATAAATAATATGAATATCTCCATATACCCTTAATTCTGTGAAGAGGTGCATTTCTGTTTCTCTGTGATGTATGTTAAAGTATAATTTTCTTCATACCATTTTATTAGACCAGACAGATCACAGCAGACACTCTGTTCTGTTACCTACAGGTCACACATTTGCTGAAGAATATGCAGAACACTTACTCTGTTCCTTCTATTTCCAGCTATTCCTATCGATTCTGAACTCAACAAGACACCTTTATTGCTCCATATAATTTCTTTTATAACTTGCAAAAAGCTGCCAAAATACACATAGCTTGAACATATTTATCTGCTCACAACTTAAGTGAGGTGGGTGAAAAAAACTTCACATGCCTGTATTGAAGACACATTGCAGAGAAAATAAAATACAGCAAGGAGAATGGTGCCAAGCTCTGCAAGTTAAAACAGTGGAAATGGGCCAAGAATAGCATTTGGAATTTCTGTTTTATTACATATAGAGTATACTCTTTTTTGTTAAATAAACTATCACCAGTTGGCATTTAACACAAATAATATGACACATTTTAATCATTTTTTGTATTTATCAAATGAGTACAACAAAGGAGCAAAATGGAGTAAAATCTATCAATTGCACAGACCTTCCTTTTGAATAGCATCCTTTTGGGTTGTGTTTGACATGAAATCTGAAATGTTTCTAGTCAAAGATTGTTTTGATATCCTAGATTTTAACAACATGCTTCTTAAATATCTGAATATTTGGAATTTCTCCATATTTCTTGATGGGATAGATTCTTGTGGGCTGGCTTTGTGTGGCAAAGGCATGTAAGTGCACTTTTAGAGCTTAAACTTACTATGAAGCATTGCTTCAGTTGACAGAAATTCAAAGGTTACAGCTCATCATTATTCATCACCTCTGGAACAGGAAGGGCCATTGCTGCAAGGTGCCTCATGCCTTCTGAAGGTGCTGTGCTCCTGTCTGAAGTTCAGGGTTCCATGGCCTCAGCCACAGTTTTACACTGCACAGAGATGGCCAAACTGCATAAATCCCCTTTAAACAGACACCTGACTTCCCACAAAGAAAGGAGGAAGACACAAATTATTAAATTATAAAACACTGCCTTCAATTCTGTTTCATGATTAATAAATCTTATAATACATACTTATTTAAAAATATATTTTGAAATGCTACATATGAACTGTGAATAAGATTGGTTCATTTACCACCATATTGAGTAGTAATAGTTTTAGAACAAGGAAATTAATTGGCGCAGCTAGTATAGCTTTTCAAATATAAACAAGTATTTTAAAACACCTTAGTGATATTTTAAATCAAAACAAAGTAAAAATTGCATACTGGCAGTCATTCTTGCCCAAATGATGCTTGCATTTCCTGCACTGCTCCACTCCAGTGCAGTACAAAATGGCTGCTTACACCAACACAAATGGAATTCTGGGGCAGGGGCAACATGTTCAGTTCTGTGCGTGTGATTACTTTATTGCACGTGTCACATGAACCACAGACTGCAGACACTCCAGTCAAAACACCTCCTAGATCTAGACACCTAATGATTTGGAGACTCTGCAATGAACATTTTGTACTATAAGCTTTTAAAGGAAACAACTCCATCAGCTTCACTTACGAATTATTTGTGCAAAAGTACAGTATCTCATAAATAAACTTTACCTGAATATTACAGAAAAAAGCTTTGGGATACATTAAATATAAATACAATGACAGCTGAGCTGCAAAATTAATTTAGGTATATACAGTAATACGCTCCCCAGTTCTTTTCACAGATGTACATTTAACCTCCCTGAGTCCTTTTCCATACTTAGCAACACGATGCATTCCCAGATGCTTGCTCAGTAACAGCCCCAGCAGTTTAGCACTAGAGGAAAGGGTGGAAAAGAGCACATCTGTGTGCACTCCCTGTCATTTGGGATTTTAAGCTTACTGTACTTTGGCCTCCAGGAGCCCACTGGTCAAGACTGGCCTGTGGCCACTGACACAGGCCCCGACGTGTCTCAGCGAGTCTGCCCCAAGGTAGGCCAGCAGCAGCTCCGTGTGCCGCATCAGCAGCTGCGTCAGGTCTTCTGCCAGGCTCTCCATCGTGGAGTACCTCACCTTTTCAAAGTCAAAAATGTCTTTGAGGAAGAAAAGCACTTGATCCTAGTGGGGAAAAAAAAAGAAAAAGA